GGTCCTATATTGCTATTTACTTAACCCCTCCTCTCCTGTCCTCCCTCCTAGTCCCGCCCCCCCCCCCCCCCAGACAAAATCGCCGAGGGGGAGTTCATCTCCGGGGTGATGAAGAACGAAGCTATCATGAAGCTGATCCAATACGAACCCAAGAAATAGGAAGGCCGAGGTCCCGGGCCGGGAGGGGAACGGCAACCTGGAGGGAGAGCAGGCGCGGCCCCCCAGCCCCGTGCATGGAGTGAGAGAGAAAACGAGTGACTGAGAAAACGATGAAACGAATGAATGAAACGATATGTGTGAGAGGTGCCCGACCCATCTCCAGCCATACGCTGCCATGTCGGTCTTCAGCCCTTTCCCCGGGTAGCTGTATCCCTCCTCCTCCTCCTCCAGACCACTCCACCGCTTCGGGCACTTCCAAACAGGCTGTCGTGGGAGGCCTGGGGGGACCCCACTGAGAGCCCGGGGGGGGGGAGGAGCAGGGGAAATGTGTGGGGGTGAAAAAGAGGATGATGGGAAAGGGAGGATAGCAGAAGGAGAGAAAGAAACAGAGCAATGAAGAAGGAGAGGAGGGATGTAAGGGGGGGAAGGGAGGAATGAGAAAGAATGAAGAATAAAAAGGAGAAGGCAGAGCAGCAGTGAACACGGCAGAGAGCGGGAAATGAGAGAAGGAGAAATGGCTGATGGAAGAGAAGGATCACATAAAGAAAGTGCTGCCAGACAGTCACTGAGATCGGGGCCCCGTCGGGCCGGGCACTGTCCAGACAGAGAGTCGCCGAGATCGGGGCCCCGTCACACTGGGCGCTGCCCAGACACAGAGTCGCTGAGATTGGGGCCCTGTCGGGCCGGGCACTGCCCAGAGTCACCGAGATCGGGGCCCCGTCGGGCCGGGCGCTGCCCAGACACAGAGTCACCGAGATCAGGGCCCCGTCAGGCCGGGCGCTGCCCAGACACAGAGTCACTGAGATTGGGGCCCTGTCGGGCCGGGCGCTGCCCAGAGTCACCGAGATCAGGGGCCCGGGGCGCTGCCCAGAGACAGCGTGAGAGCCACGCATTGAACCCAGGCGTCCTGTCTCCTCATCTAACACTCCAGCCGCGACTCCTCAGCAAAAATCCCTCTCAACTGGCACAAACCAACGACCACCGTCTAGGGCCCTGAAAACCGCTCTGCCTTTCTCCATTTGCTCCTTCTCTTCCTGCCCCCTCGGGTCCAATTCGTCCCCCCTCCCCACGGGCCCTTGAGGCAGATCATCATCCCCCTCCCTCCTGCTGAAGCCTGTTTGGAAAACACCCCCCGCCCCCAGATTCATGTTGTGTTCTGCAGTTTGTGCTTCTGTCTCGTTTCTTCCCCACCCCAGAGCCAGCGCTGGTGGGGGTGGAAGGAGGGGAGACAAAGGGCATTTGTCTTACATTTCTGTACTGGTGTCTGGTTTTCAATAAAGAGCGTTGTGTGTAAGCCATTCGCCCGGCCTCCGGGGGGAGGGAGCGAGCAGGCCAGGGGGGAATCGAACCAGCCACCTCCAGGACAACGGGCACCAGCCCCTGCTGCAGCTGGAAGGCAGGAGCAGGCACACGGCCTGGCCACTAGGGGCGATACCGAGCGCCCTGCCCAAAGCGGGCCCCTGAGCAGTGAAGTACCAAGTGCTGCCACTAGAGGGGGCAGGTGGGAGCTGACAAACTAGGAGCCATTCGTCCCTGACCCCCCCTCGTGTAACCACCAGCCCCCACTCCCCTCCCAGAGCTAGGGAGAGAACCCAGGAGTCCTGGCTCCGAGCCACCCCCCCAACCACTAGCCCTCACTCCCCTCCCAGAGCCAGGGAGAGAACCCAGGAGTCCTGGCTCCCAGCCCCCCTGCTCTAACTCGTGGCATACGTGGCCCCACTGACAGGCATTACAGGGATAATCCGTGTGTCCAGGTCTGTTGGCAGGACGGGGGTTATGTAACAGCCCCCCCGCGCTGCTTCCAATCCCGTTAGCGGGGATGAGCTCAGGGCCTGGCGCCGAAAGCCCAGTGTAAACACGGCATTAAGCAGCTTGGGCCTGGCACCCAGGGGACAGATGGCAGCATCCGAGCCAGCCAAAGCTCCACCCCCCGCCGGGGGAATGGCACCCCCAGCCCTGCCAGTGCCCCTCACAGCCCCTGCTAGCCCAGTCCTGGGCTCCCCCCACCCCTGCCGGTGCCCCTCACTCCCCACCCACAGCCCCTGCTAGCCCAGTCCTGGGCTCCCCCCAGCCCTGCCAGTGCCCCTCACTCCCAACCCACAGCCCCTGCTAGCCCAGTCCTGGGCTCCCCCCAGCCCTGCCGGTGCCCCTCACTCCCGACCCGCAGCCCCCTGCTAGCCCAGCCCTTGCATCCCCCCACCCTGGCGGGACCCCTTAGGAAAGGGCAGCTCGTCTTCCTCTCCCACCCACCCTCCCGCGGATGAAGCTGGCCTGGCTCCGCCTCTCCTGAGTGGCCAGCAGGAGGCAACGTCCTGGGACCAAATCTAGGTCCCCGCAGCCACTGCATAAGCCTTCCCATGCTGCGGGGATGGGGGTCACTGCTGCAGCCCCTGTCGTCCACCAGGGGGCACCCTCCCACTGCCATTGTCAAGACCAAGTCGGGAAAAGAGGGCCCAGGTCCCACTTGCAGCCGGACCGGCCGAGGAAGCCACCGCCCGGGAAACAACCCTTCCCTTCCCGAAATCAGAGACCAAAACGTGGCCCAGGATCTGGGTGGCAACTTGGGCTACTGGGCCTCAGACTCCTGGGTTCTCTCCCCCGCTCTGGGACGGGAGAGGGCTGGAACCAGGACTCCTGGGTTCTCTCTCTTTTCAAGGTGTCACAGTGGCAAAAACATGTCCTATCTCCCAGCCTCAGTTTCCCCACCCGCGACAAACTATGTCTGAAGATCACTGGACCACCGCCATGGGGCACCCCCTCCACACATGTCGTGCATCCCCAGGCACCCGCCCCCTTTCCCATTCTCCCCCCACAGAGGTTGTGCCACGCTGCAGGCTGGTTTGAACCCTTTATTGGGACGTGCTAGCCATTCACGCAGTCTTGGTAGCCCGGGTTCTCTTCTTCTTCACCACCACCGGCTTCTGACTCCGCAGGATGGCGCTGGCGCGGCGCAGAGCAGCCTGGAGACGGGGGAAAGAGCGTGAGGCTGATGCACACTGGAGTGGGGTGCCCCCTGCAAAGGGGAGGGGGGCTACTGCAGGTACTGGGCCTCGCTTCCCCACCCCACCTGCACCAGGGGTGCCCGGAGTGGGGCTGCACCCCACTTCTAGAGATCGCCCCTGAAGCTAAATGGGGTGAGGGCACTGACCAGACATGGTGAGCTGAGTGACTATCACCCCCACATCACTTCTCACCCATGTGGTGGGAAGGGGGCGCTCAGATTAGGGGGGCGAGACGATCGCCAATCAATCCCCCCTTTCTAGCGTGATCATCCCCCAACGTGAAGAGAGGGGAGGTCTCCAACCAGGCACGCAGCAGCCACCTGGGTTAAATCCAGAGAATCCTGTGTTTAAAATGGAGGTGTGCCGCCCCCACCCCCAATACACCCCCCTCCAAGAGCCAGCCGTGTCCCTTTCTGCCCCTCGGGACGGGCGCTTTGGCCAATGGGGCAATGCCCCTCCCCCGTGGGTTCCTGAACACAGGGCGGCCCCGTTCGGGAAGCGGGGACCAGACCCAGCACTCACCATGCGCAGATCCTTTCGGTAGTTGTTCTTGCGGATGATGTGACGCAGGCTGTTGAGCGTGGCCCGGGCGTTCTTGTTAATGGTCGTCTTCTCGTAGGACGTGGCTGGCTTGCGCTGGCCTGGGGGAAGGGGCCATGGGTCAGCCAGGGGACGAGCTGGTCTAGTCAGCAGCACAGGACGGGGGCGTTGCCCCTCTAAGGGGCGCCTGCCCCAGGGCAGGGGACTGGAGGGCTCGGGGGGGTGGGACTGGAGTATGGGGCCTTCCCCGCCCCCCAGGGGGCCCAAGCAATGAGCTGGGGGGGGGTGTCTCCATCCAAATCTGCCCCCCCACCAGAAGAAATCACTATTTCACACCCCCTGGCTCCCACAATCCTTTGCGGCGGGGGGGGGGGGGGAGGGAGAACCAGCCTGTCGGCATCACCCACCTGCCCGTTTCTTCAGCACCACCACGATCCCCTTCCCGTCCGCCGCGGGCTCCACACCCACCGTCTTGCGATGGATCAGCCCGTTGTAGCGGAAGGAGTTTCGGGCCTTCAGGTTGTTCGGCTCCTTCGGAGAGACCCGCCCGGTTAGCGGGGCCGGGGCAGCTCGGCGCCCCCCGCGCGGGCTCAGAGCGGACCGGACCCGGAGCGCCTGGTCCTGGGCAACGTCCCGGGGGGGTGGGAGCCCGGACGCCTGGGTCCCCGTGGGGGATGGGGTGGGTTGGGAGCCCGGACGCCTGGGTCCCC